CTCAGGTCATGATCTCGCAGTTTTTGAGTTCAAGCTCCGCATTGGGCTCTGTGCTGACAGCTCAGAGCCTGGAGTCTGCTTTGGATTCTGTGTCCCCCTCTCTCTACCCCTTCCCTGCTCTGTCTCTCTCTCTCTCTGTCTCTCAAAGATGAATAAACGTTAAAAAAAAAAAAAATCAGCAAAAAAACAGGTCAACATCAAGACATACCACAGTAACACTTGCAAAACACAAAGATAAAGAGAGAATTCTGAAAGCAGTTAGGAACACAACGTCCTTAACCTACAAGAGCAGACACATAAGGTTAGCAGACCTGTCCACAGAAACCTGACAGGCCAGAAGGGAGTGGCAGGAAATATTCAATGTGCTAAATGGGAAAAATATGCAGCCAAGAATCCTTTATCCAGCAAGGCTGTCATTCAGAATAGAAGGAGAGATAAAGAGCCTCCAAGACAAGCAAAAACTAAAGGAGTTTGTGAACACTAAACCAGCTCTGCAAGAATTACTAAAGGGGACCCTTAGACAGGGAAAGAGAGACCAAAAGCAACCAAGACTAGAAAAGAACAGAGGCAATCCACAGAATCAGAAACTTTACAGGTAATACAATGGCACTAAATTCCTATCTATTGATAATTATTCTGAACGTAAATGGACTAAAATGTTCCAATCAAAAGACACAGGGTATCAGAATGGTCACAAAAACAAGACCCATCAATATGCTGACTCACAAAAGACTCATTTTACACCCACAGACACCTCCAGATTGAAAGTGAGGGGTGGAGAACCATTTCTCATGCTAACAGACATCAAAAGGAAGCTGCAGTAGCCATACTTAGGCAAACTAGATTTCAAGTCAAAGACTATCATAAGAGATGAACAAAGGCACCAGATCATAATAAAGGAGGCTGTCCAACAAGAAGATCCAACTACTAAATATTTATGCCCCTATCTTGAAAGCAATCGAATGTACAGATCAATTAATAACAAACTTAAAGAAGCTTGCTGATAACAACACAAGAAAAGTAGGAGACTTTAACACCCCACTTGCAGTAATGGGCAGATCATCTAAGCAGAAGATCAACAGGGAAACAGGCTTTGAATGATACACTGGACCAGATGGACTTAACAGATATAATCAGAGCATTTCATCCTAAAGCAACAGAATACACACTCTTTTCGAGTGCACATGGAACATTCTCCAGAAGAGATCACATGGTGGGTCACAAATCATGCCCGAACCAGTACAGAAAGACTGAGGTCCTTACCATGCATGTTTTTAGACCACAGCACTATGAAACTTGAGGTCAACCATAAGAAAAAATTGGGGAAGCCCTCAAATACATGCAGGTTAAAGAACATCTTACTAAAGAATGAATGGATTAACCAGGAAATTAAAGAAGAAATTAAAAAAATAAATGGAAGCAAATGAAAATGAAAACACGACAGTCCAAAACCTTTGGGATGCAGCAAAGGTGGTCATAAGAAGTAATATATATTGTAATACAGGCCCTTCCTCAAGAAGCAAAAGTGTCAAATACACAACCTAACCTTCCACCTAAAAGAACTGGAAAAAGGACAGCAAGTAAAGATGAGAGCAGAGACAAATGATACAGAAACCAAAAACCAGTAGAACAAATTGATCAATGAAACTGGGAGCTGGTACTTGGAAAGAATTAAAAAAACTGATAACCCCCCTAGCCAAATTTATCAAAAATAAAAGAGGACCCAAACAAATAAAATCACAAATGAATGAGAACACAACAAACACCACGGAAATACAATTATAAAAGAATATTATAAGCAATTACATGCCAACAAATTTGGCAATCTAGAAGAAATGGATAAATTCCTAGAAACATATAAATGACCAAAACTGAAACAGGAAGAAATAGAAAATTTGAATAGACTCATAACCAGCAAAGAAACTGAATCAGAAATACAAGATTTCCCAAAAAACAAGAGTCCAGGGCCAGATGGCTTCCCAGGGAAATTCTACCCAATATTTAAAGAAGAATTAATACTTACTGTTCTGAAACTGTTCCAAAAAATAGAAATGGAAGGAAAACTTCAAACTCCTTCTATAAGGCTAGCATTACCTTCATTCCAAAACCAGACAAAGACTCCACTAAAAAGGAGAATTACAGACCAATTCCCTGATGAACATGGATGCAAAAATTCTCAACGAGATCCTAACAAATCCAACAGTACATTAAAAGGATTATCCACCACAATCAAGTGAGATTTATTCCCGGGCTGCAGGGGTGGTTCAGTGTCTGCAAATCAATTAACGTGATACACACCTTAATAAAAGAGAGGATGGGGCTCCTGGGTGGCTCAGTCAGTTAAGCGGCTGACTTAGGCTCAGGTCATGATCTCACGGTCCGTGAGTTTGAGCCCCGCGTTGGGCTCTGTGCTGACAGCTCAGAGCCTGAAGCCTGTTTCAGATTCTGTGTCTCCCTCTCTCTGACCCTCCCCCGTTCATGCTCTGTCTCGGTCTCAAAAATAAATAAACATTAAAAAAAATTAAAAAAAAAATAAAAGAGAGGATAAGAACCACATGATCCTCTCGATAAATGTGGAAAAATCATCTGACAAAATAGAGCATCCATTCTCGATAAAAACCCTCAAGAAAACTGGGACAGAAGGAACATACCTCAACATCATAAAAGGCCATATACAACAGACCCGTATCATCCTCAATGGGGAAAAACTGAGAGCTTTTCCCCTAAGTTCAGGAACACAACAGGACGTCCACTCTCACCATTGTTGTTCAACATAGCACTGGAAGTCCTAGCCTCAGCAATCAGACAACAAAAAGAAATAAAAGGCATCTAAATAGTCAAGGAAGAAGTCAAACTTTCACTCTTCACAGATGACAGGATACTCTATGTGGAAAACCTGAAAGACTTCACCAAGAACTTCACTGCTAGAACTAATTCAGCAAGGTTGCAAGGATATAAAATCAATATACAGAAATCTGTTGCATTTCTATACACCAATAATGAAGCAGCGGCAGGAGAAATCAAGGAATCAATCCCATTTACAACTGCACCAAAAACCATAAGATACCTAGGAATAAACCTAACCAAAGAGGTAGAAGATATGAACTCTGAAAAGTTTACAACACTTATGAAAGAAATTGAAGACACAAAGAAATGGAAAAACATCCCGTGCTCAGGGACTGGAAAAACAAATATTGTTAAAATGTTGATAGCACCCAAAGCAATCTACACCTTCAACGCAATCCCGATCCAAATAGAACCAGCATTCTTCTCAGAGCTAGAACACACAATCCTAAAATTTGTATGGTACCACAAAAGATCCCGAATCGCCAAAGTAATGTTGAAAAAGAAAACGAAAGCTGGAGGCATCACAATTCTGGACTTCAAACTGTATTACAAAGATGTAATCATCAAGACACAATGGTACTGGCACAAAAACAGACACATAGACCAATGGAACAGAAAAGGGAACCCAGAAATGGACCCACAACTATGTTGTCAGCTAATCTTTGATAAAGTGAGAAAGAATATCTAATAGAAAAAAGTCTCTTCAACAGTGTTGGGAAAACTGGACAGCGACATGCAGAAGAATAAAACTGGACCACTTCTTACACAATACACAAAAAATAAACTCAAAATGGATGAAAGACCTAAATGTGAGAGGAGGAAACCATCAAAATCCTAGAGAACACAGGCAGCAACCTCTTTGACCTTGGCTATAGCAACTTTTAACTAGACACATCTCCGGGGGCAAGAGAAACAAATGCAAAAAATGAGCTCTTGGGACTTCATCATGATAAAAAGCCTCTGCACAGCAAAGGAAATAATCAACAAAACTAAAAGGCAATCCACAGAATGGGAGAAGATATTTGCAAATCTGATAAAGGGTTAGTATCCAAAACCTATAAACAAATTACCAAACTCAACACCCCCAAAACAAATAATTCAGTTAAGAAATGGGCAGAAGACATGAATAGACATTTCTCCAAAGAAGACCTACAAATGGCTAACAGACACATGAAAAATGCTCAACATCACTCACCATCAGGGAAACACAAATCAAAATCACAATGAGATACCACGTCACACCTGTCAGAATGACTAAAATTAACAACTCAGGAGACAACAGACATCGGCAAGGATGCAGAAAAAGGGGAACCCTCCTACGCTGTCAGTGGGAATGCAAACTGGTGCAGCCACTCTGGAAAACAGTATGGAGGTTCCTCAAAAAATTACAAATAGAACTAACCTATGACCCAGCAATTGCATTACTAGGTATTTATCCAAAGGATAAGAAAAATACTGAATCAAAGGGGCACGTGCACCCCAATGTTTACAGCACTACTATCAACAAAAGCCAAACTGCAGAAAGAGCCCAAATGTCAACTGACTGATCAATGGGTAAAAAAGATGTGGTGTGTAAACACACACACACACACACACACACACACACACACACACACACACACGGAGCAATACCACTGAGCCATCAAAAAGAATGAAATCTTGTCATTTGCAACGACGTGGATGGAACTGAAGTATATTAGGCTAAGTGAAATAAGTCAGTCAGAGAAAGACAAATATTGTATGATTTCACTCATATGTGAAATTTAAGAAAACAAAACAGATGAACATAGGAAAAGGGAAGGAAAAATAAAATAAGATGAAAACAGAGAAAGAGGCAAACCATGAGAATCTTACCTACAGAGAACAAACTGAGGGTTGCTGGAGGGGGTGTTGTGTGGGGGATGGGCTAAATGGGTGACGGGCATTAAGGAGGGCACTTGTGATGATGCTGTTGTATTAAAAGCCCTTCTTTTTCTGCTTACTTCTTGATTCTATAAATTATTTGATTTGATAACTTAATAAGTAACTTAACTGAATTTTAACCATTAAATAAAAAAAGTGATTTTATTTTCACCTAATTCAAATTTCCTTTGCAAAGTGATCATAATAAAATTTCCCAGGATGGGACCTCCTATACAGATGTCATGTATTACCTTTCGCAGTGGTCCATACTGTTTTCTGTACTTCTTGTTCCAAGATATTCCTATCTTTTTCAAGAGTTTCTGGCCCAGCTGATCAACAGGAATCAGATTACTCTCCTCCTTGTGAAAGAAACACAAGATCATTTAGGAAAATCTGATGAGATGTAAATGTAACATTTACAAGTTCAAAGGGGCCAATAGGATTATATCTAATTAAATGTGCCTATGACAGCTGAACATGGAAGTGGATTAACCATAACTACTTCAAAATAAAAAAAGTTTTTTACAAGTAGATTAAGCCTCAGTTTAGAAAACCTGAATTGCGCTTTCCTGTGCCAAAGTTCAAACATTTAAGGAGCCAATATCCAAAGAGTATTCTGAGGTTTGGTAAATTCCTGATATTTTATGGGATGTTTACAAGAGATACTTAAGCGCAAAAAAGGATTATCAATATGTTTTCTGAATGTTTCCAGATATAAACCAGTTCTAAAAGGGAATAGGAAGTGACTGTTTGGGGCTGAAATGTACCCCCTCCCCACCCCCACATTCATACATTGACTCCTGAACCTTCAAGATTTCAACTATGACTATATTTGGACAGGACCTTTAAAGAAGTGATTAAGTTAAAAATGAGGTCATTAGGGTGCGTCCTAGTCCAATCTGACTGGTGTCCTTATAAGAAGAAGAAATAATGGACACACAGAGACACTGGGGATGCACATGCACAGAGGAAAGGCCATGTGAAGACACAGCGAGAAGGCAGCCATCTGCAAGCCAAGAAGAGAGGCCTCGGGAGGAAACAAACCTGCCGGCACCTTGATCTTGGACTTCCAGCCTCCAGAGCTGTGAGAAAATAAATTTCTGTTGTTTCAGCCACCCAATCTGTGGTATTCTGTTACGGCAGCTCTAGCAAACTAATACAGTGGCCACAGACCAATTCAGTTAAAGGACTCAGACTAGGTCCGTGGTAAAGAATTAAGAAAAATTGTTCACAGGAATGAATACATACGTAAAAGGAGACCTACCACCTTTACAACACAGCACTACGCAAACGTTAAAAGTCACATACTTGAGGTATTATCAGTGTATCAGTATTAGGAATGAAAAAGAGGACATAACTTCAGGTATTACAGGCATTAGGAAGGATAACGTGGGAAAATAGCAAATTCCAAAACAATATGTAAAGTGAATCCCAATTCCATTCAAAAGGACAGTAGTACCAAAAAACCCCATAACCCAATCCCAATATATATATATATGCATAAACACAGAGAAAAAGCAGAATGTAAAAAATATACATCAAAGTATTAACAATAACTGGATATTTGATTTATATTTTTATTATCTTGATATATTTCCTAGTATTTTTTCTCTCAAATTTTCCACCACAAATATGAATTTTTTATAACCAGAAAGTCTCCAATAAAAAAATTATAAAAATAGACACAGAGAATGTCCCAAAGGAAAAAGACTGTCAACAGTACCAGAATCAGTTCTATCAATGAAATTTCATGTACCTATGTGCATGTCTGTAATACACACACAGGAAAATATAAACTCTACCTGTAGTAAGATTGCTTTTAGAATTATCAATGGATCATCGTCAATCTCCTCTTTATTCTGGAGATCTGGTTTACTTTTTTCCTCCTAGAAAGGAAAACAATAAAAAGGTTTCTATCATTACTCCCTTAAAAGGTAATTAACAAAAGAGAAATGTTTGTGCCACGGAAGTTTCAAGAGGGAGAAGGGATAGTAACAGCATGGCAATAACTTATATATACTTTGGAATCAGGCAGACCTGGCTCGGAATTCCAGTTCTGGTTGAAAAATCCTGAATAAACTACTTAATCTCTCGATCATTATCTGCAAATGGAATTATGAGATAAGCCTCCAGCACAACACACACTCGGCAGGTTCTGACATTCTCCCAGTAAGCACTACCCCAGCTGCACCCTACAAATCTTGACAGGTTGTGTGTGAATCACTAGCAAGCTCAGCTTCAGGCTCCCTTCTATTTCCCAGTCGTCTTAAGTTTTCACCCCATTCTATGAAGTTATTTGGGGACATATCAAAATAAGGTATTTTTTTTTATTGGATTTTTGGTACATGCCATCTTGCAAAAGCGTTTTAATATGACTTAAAACCATAAATACAAATAGACCTAAACAATTAACACAAGACCAAAATACAGAAGGAGTAAAACAATATGGTACATTAAGTATAATCATCTTTACCAATTACTAAAAATGCTGGATAAAGTAAACTCAACAATAAAAAGCAAAGGCATCTTTTTTTTTTTTTAATCTTTTTTTTTTTTTCCAACGTTTATTTATTTTTGGGACAGAGAGAGACAGAGCATGAACGGGGGAGGGGCAGAGAGAGAGGGAGACACAGAATCAGAAACAGGCTCCAGGCTCTGAGCCATCAGCCCAGAGCCCGACGCGGGGCTCGAACTCACGGACCGCGAGATCGTGACCTGGCTGAAGTCGGACGCTCAACCGACTGCGCCACCCAGGCGCCCCCAAAGGCATCTTTTTAAAACACACACTGAATTAGCGAGTATCAGGGAAATCCTGAGGGAAAAAGTGAAACGGGAATCCAGGGAGGAAATCCAGAGCTGAGGCCTCCAGCCATCCAACCTGGCTGATGCAGCTGCCACTTTGATGCTCATACAGGACATGGTTTGGGAGGCAAAGCCTCAAGACCTCCAAAAGTATGGAGTTGAATGACTGGTTTTCCAAACAACCAGTTTTGCAGTTCTCTGACACCATCTGGGTGTCCTACAATTCAATCCAGTTCTGATACTAACTTCACTCAGTCCCACAGGACTGTCCCCACTTCAGACAACAGCCACAAATGGGGTCCTGCGCAGGGTCCAGGCCACCTGTGCTTTTGCCTGGCTGATTACAAATTCTAGGGTTCCTACAACCCCCACTTCAGGTTTGAGAATTTCCTGGAATAGCTCACAGCACTCAGGAACTTGTACACCCTGTGGACAGGGTGAGGTCAGGAAGGGTCCTGAGTACAGCAGGAACCTCTGTCCCTGTAGAGTTGGGGTGGGCACCCTCCCTGCACATGGATGTGTTCACCAGCCCACAAGCTCCCTTAGTCTCCTTGCTTCAGAATTTTAATCAAAGTTTCAGTATGCAGGCAATACCGATGGACTGAATTCAATCACCAGCCCCTCCCCAGGTCAGGGACTGGGGCTAAAAACATCAACCCTCTAAGCATGTGGTTGGTTCTGCTGCTGATCAGCCCTCATTTCGAAGGTATCTAGGTTCCCACCAAGAGTCACCCCATTAGCATGAACTCGGATATGGGTGAAAGGGGTTCATTATGAATAACAAAAGACAAGCCTACACTCAGGAAATTTCAAGCTCTATTCCAGGAACCTGGGGCAAAGACAGAATATAAATATGTATTTTTTAATTATACCACATAGACAGACTTCAGCAAAATGCTAGAAACATGAAAAGAGCCACCTCTCAGTATAAACATGGCCTAGAAAAATCCACCCCACAATAAAAAACAATGAGAAACTTGCTTTTACTTTGATACTAGATGAAGGTAGAAAAACACCTCCTCTAAATTTATAATCACAAGTCCCCACTTGGGTTTGTGGCCCACATGGTATGGCTCCAAAACCACTAGGTCAAGTTAAGGGTTGGAAGGGACCCTAGGCATGTGGTAGAGACAAAAACTTATCTTTCTCAGAGGAAGGCACTTTCAACCTAGCTCATGAATTAGTCCAGTAAATCATGTTCTTAAAAAAACCACCAATCAAGCAAGACTACAGTCTAAAATAACAAAATCCCAAGGAAACAGAAGCAGTAGATATCCAAGCAGACCTACAAAGTCTTCAGATACTGCAATTATTAGAATAAAATAATATGTTTAAAGACATGACTAAAGAATAAGAGGTTTAAAATGGTAGAAGAGGAAAGGCAGGCCAGCCCTGCCCCTACGTGTCTCGCTGGTGTGGGTAACCGACAGGCTAGGCCCAGTCCTCCTCCACTCTGCCAGTGTCCAACCTTGGCCTTGTCTGGACAGTAGGAACTAGCCCTGGGCTGCCTACTGGGAGTTGTTGTGAAGGCTTCTCTGACCCCTTTCTTCAAATGTGCAAGGTAATATTCAAAGTGATGTCAACAACCATCAATGAAGCAAAAGGTCTCTCCGGAAGCAAAAAGCAGGGGCACCTGGGTGGCTCAGTCAGTTAAGCATTTGACTTTTGATTTTGGCTCAGCTCATTATCTCACGGGTTGTGGGTTTGAGTCCTATGTTGGGCTCAGCGCTACCAGCACAGAGCCTGCTTAGGATTCTCTGTCTCTAACCTTCCCCTCCTCTCTCTCAAAATAAACAGGGGGAAAAAAAAAGGAAGCAGAAAGCAAAGATCAGGCTCCTTTTTACAACCAGATCTAGAGTCACATTTTGCAGTTAATGGCCTCCATACTAGAAGAAAAGGGATCATCTTCTAGATACACTAAGGAGACTAAAATGTTGCCTTTATTATACTATACTATATTATATCATATAATACATAATTATTGTTTTTTTAAAGTAAACTCTACCCCCAACGTGGGGCTTGAACTCACAACCCTAAGATCAAGAGTCCCATGCTCTACCAACTGAGCCAGGCAGGCACCCCTGGAAAGCTGACTTTAAACTCATGAAAATTACGTCAGATTGGTCATGAAAGTTATTCCTTTGCAGACAGCAGCTACTAAAGAACTCCATGAACGCAGAGAACGGCTCCTTGAAAGGAAGAAAAAAATGCCAAACAATAAGCAGAAAGGACATGTAGCTATGATTAGAATATTTGGAATCCTATGTCTCCAGGCACAAGCAATCTCTCAGCATAATGGCAATACAAAGATAAGCAGTGTGCAGATGTACGTATTGAGGTTGAAATTTTTAAAGCATTAATCATTATTTGAACATCACAAAGCTCTGGATGAAAAAACTAGTGATTCTGAAAGAACAAAGGAAAAAATTTAACAAACGGGATGCTTCATAGAAGGCATGAATAGTAAAATATACCAAGCACAAAGGGAAGCGTTCTGATTGTTCTTTAAGCCCCAAGAAAGACCTTGCTAAAGTCACAAAGCGTCAAGCGTGGAGAGGCAGTGCAGAGAGCAAAACCAAACGAAAGAATGCCTGTCTCTCTTCCCCAGTCACATAACAGAACCAGGAGAAGAGCCCAATGATGCTAGGAAAGAGCTAATTAACTGTGAGGACATGAACACAAAAGGGCAGGGATATCCAGGGAAGCACAACCCAAAACGAAGACACGGAAGACAGAATCAATGCTTGAGACACACTACCTCAGCACTGCAGGAGTCCACCTCTGTGTGTGACCTCCACGATAAACCTGAAAATGAAACTGCAAAAGAACAAAGACTGATGATAAATCTCAGCAACTATAAAAGTGCCAGAAATCAGACAGCGGCTGAAGAAAATCTGCTGTGGGTATTGAGGGGAGCGGAGACACGCTCCCTGCCCTGGCATCTGACCGGTGCAGAAACTGGGAGTGCTCTCTCGGACTGAAGAGACAGGGCAACACTGGAAAACAAGGTTACACAGACGAGGGCAGAGCTGGAAAAAAAGAAGTCAAGACCACGGCGGGCAAGGCAAAGAGAAAAAAAATAAATGAACAACCGGTATTTATTGGATCTGTCCTCAAGCTTGTATCAGAAACTAAGAAAAACCTTCACCATCATCTTTTAGAGAGGAGGGAACTGAGCTAATTCAATTGTCTGAACAGGGTGGGGGGAGAAGGGCTGCTTAGAGGACCAGAGGTCTCTGCTACGGGACCCCGGACACTAAAGACAGCAGCATGAAGAAAGGTAGTACGATAAGAACCAGCGCAAACTAAGTACAGACACACTGAGGGCTGAATCAGAGCAGATGAGGGCGGAAGAACTTCCCTTCACCTGACTGGGAATGTGCCCAACACCTAACGTCTTGGCAAACGTGGCACAAGCACCCGAGAGTGATGCTTCCGTGGCGCTCTCAGCCCAGAATGAAATGGAAGGTAACAGACTGGAAAGGGGGACACAAACCAGTCCTTCTCCAAACATGTCTGCAATATAAGAGGCGTTTAGCGAGATGGTTGGTTGTAAAAATCAATAAACTAATGGTAATTGCATTTCGTACGCTAGCCACAAATAGTCCAAGAAATACAAAGTACGGCCACAGCCCCACAGAACATCTTCTTGGTGGAACAGTTTGACTTTTTAAACATCCAAATGCTTTTTAATATCCAAGTACAACTGACAGAGCATCAGAAATGCAGACAGGTGCTCTGGAAAGCAAACACCAACAGGTAGAACGTGCATCTGCAACACTGCCGGCACCAAGAGAAGCGATACTACTGCGTGTGGCCAACTATTCACGAACAACCCCAATTGTCTGATCGTCAGGAAGCTGTCGTAAGCATCCTATTCCTACCGTGATGGCTTGTAACTTACATACTGACATTTCACTGTGTTCTAGTTACACGTTAGAAAGCTGGCCAAGAGACTGGGGTTGGTGTGTTACACCTTACGATTTTTCCCACTGCAATTAATTGGAACTAAGACTTCAGTTAGTGCTTTCCTTCAGAACATCTTAAGAAAATTACAAAGCTTTTTTTATAAGAAGCTCTAAAATATGAAAACATCTATCTGGTTTACATATCTAGATTCAAAACTCTACCACTTCTGAGAAGGTGTGTACGTATGTGAGAATACTGACAAGCTGGTTCTAGGAATGTCTGCAGAAGAGTAAAAGGCCAAAACAGTAACAATACTCCTGAAGAATAACAACATACAGGGAGACTTGCCTGGATCACGACTTAATGATAATGCTACAGAAATTAACAACGTGGTATCTGCCTACCAATAGAAAAAAGAACAATGAACACAATAGATGCCCAAATGGACTCATACGCAAATAACTGACAGAACAAAACTGGCACTGGGGATTGGTGGGGCAAGAATGGATTATTCAGTAAATGGGAATGGGCAACCAGATACTTAAATGGGGGGAAAAGTCACACACCATTCACAGGAAACCATTCTGGGAAGACTGAGAAGCTTTATTTAAGTTTTTTAATGTTTATTTTTGAGAGAGAGAGAGAGAGAGACAGAGCGTGAGCGGGGAGGGGCAGAGAGAGGGAGACATAGAATCCAAAGCAGGCTCCAGGCTCTGAGCTGTCAGCACAGAGCCCGATGCGGGGCTCAAACTCACGAACTGTGAGATCATGAGCTGAGCCGAAGTGGATGCTTAACTGACTGAGCCACCCAAGCGCCGCAAGACTGAGAAGTTTTAAATATATAAGGCAAAACTATAAAACTTTTAGAAGACAATACAAGAAGAAAATCCTTATCATCTTTGGTCGGTGCCACGGAAGACAGAGAAGCCGAGGAACAGTTACCAATTAAAGGAGACTTAAGAGATGTGCTAACTAAGTATAACGTGGGACCTGCACTCGACACTAGAGTGGGGAAGAAATGCTGTAAAGGATCTTGAAGAGACAACTGGTAGAATCTGAATATAAACTCTTTATTAGAGAGTAGAAATGTTTCAATGTTAAAGTTTCTGATTGTGATCTATGCTTGTGTAAGGGAACATCCTTGTTCTCAGGAGATAAATACTCAAGTATTTAGGAGTAAAGGGGCTGAATGTCTTCAGCTTAATTTCAAATGGTTCAGCACTCCTAAGATGTTAGCTGTGTGTTTGCACAAATTTGGCAAATTGCTGTTGTTTTTAAAATGTTTATTTTTGAAAAAGAGCGAGAGAGAAAAGGCCAGCTGGGGAGGGGCGGGGAGGGAGGAAGGGCAGAGAGAGAGAGGGAGACAGAGAATCTCAAGCAAGTTCCACAGTCAGCGCAGACCCCGACGCATGGCTTGATCTCACGAACTGCGAGATCGTGTCCTGAGCTGAAATCAGGAGTCAGAAGGTTAACCGACTGAGCCACCCAAGTGCTCCATTGTTGTTGTTTTTTAAAGTTTAAGTAATTTCTTTCTTTCTTTTAATTAGTTTTATTTCTGAGAGGCAGAGAGAGACAGAGCACGAGTGAGGGAGGGGCAGAGAGAGAGGGAGACACAGAATTTGAAGCAGGCTCCAGGCTCTAAGCTGTCAGCACAGAGCCTGATGTGGGGCTCGAACTCAGAAACTGTGAGATCATGACCTGAGCTGAAGTCAGACGCTCAACCGACTGAGCCACCCAGGCGTCCCTCTTTAAGTAATTTCTACCCTCAATGTGGGGATCTTGAGATCAAGAGCCACGTGCACTTCTGACTGAGCCAGTCGGGTGCCCCAAATTTGGTGAATTGTTAACAACTAAAGAATCCAGGTGAAGAATATATAGAAAGTGTTTGTACTATGCTGGTTTTTCTTCTGTATGAAACGTTTTAGAAATAAAAATTTAAAACTTCTAACTATTAACTTTGCTTCCCTATAAAAATTTTCTAGGGTAAATACATATAATAAATGGCAAAAGGTCACTTTCACCAAAACAGTAAGACCAAAAAAGGGAAAAAGTGCAAAGATACTTCTAAACTAATTTCTATGCTTACTTGAAATTGCCAGTTTCCCAAATGATCGACATCTTTAATATACACGTGATAATGTCCTCCATAGCAACCACCTTGGTGGATAATAACCGAAAAGAGGTCATAAACATACTCCAAGTCATCCAATTCACTCTATAAGAGAAAAGAGCATAAACATTGATAGTTTACTTGAAAGGTGCCAATTATCTGAGAAACTTATTTACTTGGAAAGTAACTAGTATTTCTGGTTCAGGCAAAAGATGAGAGATACAAACAGATGCAAAGTGATAATTTTTTTCATTAATATAGAAATCGAAAAGTAAAATTATGGTCAATTTCCTAGCTAAGTGCTCAATGTTTTACCTATTTCACTTCTGTTATTTCAAAGTATGTTAAAATAATGTGACAAACTACTTTTTTAAAAAGGGCCTAAAGTTTTTCTATAGGAGACAGTGGCTGTTAACTAAACCTGTGGTGGCCATCATTTAGCAATATACGTAAATCAAAACTTATCATGCTATACACCTTCAACTTACAGAGTGATGTCTATCAATTATTTCTCAGTAAAACTGGAAAAAAAAAAGAAGTAACTCAATTATCCTGTTTTATTCAGGCAGTAAATGGAGGGGGACAAGTATATTAACTTATGCTGGAAAAACTGCTCATTCCGTATGTCCCAATAAAATAAAACCCAAAAAGCTAAGAAATTAGGCTTGAAGTAGAGGAAGGCCCATCTGAATTTAAGAATAAATGAAATATTACTTTTAAACATAGAAATTCAGCAGTTAATTAATAAATGTCCTGGTCTTAATGAACATATAAATAATGATTTGTAAATAAGAAACACAGCAGTCTCGTGGCTCTGATGTTGGCATGTATAGTGATTATATAGACAATAGTTTAAAATGGCTTATAAAGTAGGTTGCTTGTAATAATTTGTTTTCAAATTACGTGCCTCAAGGATTATCAACTCTAGCAAAGTTCCCATTACCTGTTCACTTTCTACATTTGTAATTCATTACTGCATCTCATGTAAACTAAATCCAAATAGCAAAGTACTAATTAATGGTAACCTCTCCTAATGTAGGATCATTTCTAATTTTGTTCTTAAATTTTCCTTTCAAAGATCTTCCAAGGAGAGTTTAATAAAAAGAACTGAGAACAAACCATACTTCAGAAATTCAAAAGGACTGTAATAAACCAGTGGTTCTCAGCTGGGGCTGATTTTACCAACCCTCTCCCCCCAGGAGACATGGACATTTGGCAAGGTCTGAAGACATTTTTGTCACTACTAGGGGTGGGGTGGGAGGGTGGGGTGCTACTGTCATCTAGTGGGTAGAGGCCAGGGGTGCGGCTTAAAATCCTACAATGCATGGGACATAGACCTCACAACAAAGAATGACCCAACTCAAAATGTTAACAGAGCCAGGTTGGAAGATTCTGCAGTAAGTCAACTGAAAACCAGGCCGATAAAGATTAAATCCTGACAGGGTAAAAGAAAAAATTTCAAAATAAAGAGTTCAAACCTGTTCACAAAAAGGCTTGAGATTGATCCGGAGAGGGAACGTGTAACAGCTAGTTTCCTTGTATCGTTCGTGCTTCACAAAATCAAAATTAAATCTTAACAACGAAACAGTAAGAAAGGGAGGCAGCTTACGTAATTTGGCCGACTGTTAAAAGAAAAATTTTTACAGTTTTTTAAAAAGCAGAGTTATAGAAAAGAATATGTAAGATATCTTAAGATCTGAAAAGGCAACCCATGATGTAGTTTTAAGAGAAATAATGCCCTTAAATCACATAAATTCATCACCTTGGATTCAATTCAGCTGACATGAACTCATCTATTTCATGGGACCAAAGGTGATTTATCACTTACTTATGTTTACAACTAAAAAGTCACAACCCGAGTTCATGTTTTTAGCGCGGATATCCCAAAATCAAAGCTGTCCAACAAACATGTTGTAACTGGTGCTCCCCGTTCTAACAGTGCTCCCTCCCTGCATGAGCCCTGGTGTTTCACCTTCCTCCTTCACCCAGGACAAAGGACCCAATGATTGGGGTTTTATAATGAATGCCCTTTAAAGCAGATAAAAAAATATTTTTGTTTCCTTGTTTTAAGACAAAGCACTAAATGAAGCTGCTTTTTATTTAAAAGTCATCAGCTTCCCCCCAGTGTCTTAGCTCTAATGGTATGCTGGCTAGGGGGTGGCAAAAAAACCTTCTCATCTATTAAATCATCGTTAATGGTATTATCATCCTTACATACAAATATCTAACGTTCTTAAAAATATATTTAAGACAATTCCACAAATTGGGGGTTAAAAAAAAGTTAAGTGAGAAAATGGCAACATGACATGGCAGATTTTCCAAGAAGTTAAAAAAAAAAAAAATACACCTAAAAAACCCGAGTATCTCATCTACAACAAGGCTGAGAAAAGTGACTGTGCTCAGAATAAGGAAATCTACATTAATTTAGGTAGCACGACCAAACTGAAATTTAGGATGCAATTTAAAAAATATCAAGATCAAAAAATTTCCATTGAAAAAAAATTAAACCAATGACATACCACTGACATACAAGAACTGCTTTTGTTGAGCTCAGGGTTCTTGTTTTACTAATGTGCTAATTAAGTTCAACCAAAACAAAGAACGTGTTTATGTATCTTTCCGAGACCTTTCATCCTCTGAATTTTATATTTATTTTACTAGACTGTAGTTTTGATACCAAAGGTGAAATACCAAATAAATAAGCAAAACAATGAACCTCTCCGTGTGTCACAAAAAGGCAAAGGCTAGATGGAAATGCATACTAAAGAATGTTACATTCACACTGGTTTCAAATCCTATTGTGAAAAGCTACAGGCATGGAGTTTGTTTTTCGTTTTTTATTTGTTTTTTACATTCTCACCTACAACCTCCAGGAGCTAAATCAGTATTATGTGTTATCGAAATCAGTCCTCATTTTGTTGGAAAATTTAGTAACTGTCAGCTCTAGGGATGGACAGAATACCTGCAAAGACCCATCTTCGGTGGTGGCTCCTGAAGCCAGTGCTCAGTAACCACTGACCGGGCAGCCTATGGCATCATCTGGCAGCAGTGGCTTAGTCACTACGGCTTAGCCCTCCTGTCATCCCCACAGTGAGAAAGGAAGCACTTTGGCTGAGTATTTCCCTCCTCTGTGGGAGGAGGAAAGGGCTTATTCGATTTGCTAGAGTCAGGGAGGTGTTATCTGTCAGTATCGTAAAATAACCGCATGTGCAGGAAATGAGGCCGTCTGTTGTCACAGCAGGAGGCAAAGAAAGAAAAGCGCAATGAGCTTTTTGGCAGAAACAAAAACATACCGCCTTCTTCCTAGTGGGACTTTGCCAAAAGCAAGGATATGGGCAGTCTATTTAAAAAAAAAAAAAAAAAAAAGGGGGTTTTAAGAAATGCTGAGGTACAGATATATTTTTCTTGGGAGGGAAAGAAGTTGTGAGAACTGTTGGGTTGAAAACTTAAAAAAAAAATGCTTTACTGTAAAAAATTAAATACAGATCTGTGGAATGGAAAGGTGTTTTCACTCCTCGGTTGCAATTAGGGGCTTCCTGTGTATCCTCCAGACTGTCTCACGCAAGTTGGCTTCACTTGACAAACCTTGGTGCTGCCGAGTGCGGAGGGGGCGCCCAAGAGAAGGCAGGTCTTTACCTTGGCTGCTTTAACCAGCCTGTCACAAGTCCCACAGTGGTACAGGTTGTCATAGTCAAAAACTTCCTCTTCTACATACATGTTCCAGAGTGCATCTTCCAAGCCTGATACGTTTTTGACTGCTACTGTGAGATCTAAGAAGTCTTCCTGAAACACACATGAATGTCATATTGAAAGAAAACAATTTCACAGTGGTTCACAAACATATCACCAACTCCTACATATGTTGGGAATAAGAGATAACTTTTCCCTAAAACACTGTACGTAGTATGAGGGGACAGATGGCCTGATTGGATACTATGAAATTCATCACACAATATTACCCTAAATCAAATTGTAATTTGGCCTAAAATATGTCACGAACTAGTCTGTAAGTTCCCGGCAGCTACAGTGAAACTTACTTTAGTTGAAAATAAGCCACTGAACACACATCTGGACTGAGAAGCGTATGTGTTCAGTGCTTACGAGTTCTGTCTCGTCTCTAGGCTAGAATGGCACAGGCAGGGCTGGACCCTCTAATGTAAACCCCGCTTCTTCATCTTCTGCTAGGGCTGGTTTACGGGAGTTGTAAGAAAATTAATTATTTTGAGCCAGCATAAAAAGGTATTGTTCTGAAACGAGGACAGTATTTTGCAAACAGCAGTCTGTCAAGTCTGCTGTAACTGCATTTCAATTGCAACTTACTTATAACTTCTAAACACGTGAAATCTGATCAGTTTCAATCATACATAGTTCTGTGGGTGTAACAGCATTGCCCTAAGGGATTACAGGGACTGTAAAATGACAGTACTAACTAGCTCATGGTGGAAATCTAAAGGAATAGAAGCAACATTTATATGTAGTTTATAATATGTACCTATGAAAAGTTGATGTCTATAACTTATTAGGTGCCTTCATGTACATTATGTCTTAAAATTATTTTGTGAATTATTACAGTGTAGTTAAGTCAATCATATGGTAATCCAAAGACACACAACGTCTTAATATTTCCAAATTAAGCTGACCAAATCCTCTATCAGCACAGGCAAAAAGGACCAAAGTTTTTTTTTACCCCAACTCTTTCATTAAAAAAAAAGGAAAAGAATATATACATATATCCAAAGAAGCAATTAATGCAACATTTAGAAAATGGCATTTAAGGGGCGCCTGGGTGGCGCAGTCAGTTAAGCGTCCGACTTCAGCCGGGTCACGATCTCGCGGTCCGGGAGTTTGAGCCCCGCGTCGGGCTCTGGGCTGATGGCTCAGAGCCTGGAGCCTGTTTCCGATTCTATGTCTCCCTCTCTCTCTGCCCCTCCCCCGTTCATGCTCTGTCTCTCTCTGTCCCAAAAATAAATAAACGTTGAAAAAAAAAATTAAAAAAAAAAAAAAGAAAATGGCATTTAATATTTTACTCATACAGTCAAATACAGCAATTTTCTAGAACTCTTGCCATAATAAAAAGAGGCTATTAAGGGACAACTGTTCAGTGATGCAATTATGTGCTGCATAAGATTTATAAAGCAAGCAGAGACATTATATTTACAGGAGCAAATTTCCAATATCTAATTTTCAAGTAGATTAAATGGACAACATAAGCTCACACATACAAATGAATTTTCTAAAGGATATTAATAAACTAAATCCAATATTTAATTATAGGTGTTTGTCAATGTAAACATTCTTTAGTATTCTCTATTTCTATCACTTCCTTAATTAACTTTTGTTACAATACTCCAACCAACCATGAAATTGGGTCTGCTCATGAGGCCACAGATCTCTACCTATAAACATTCCCCAAATCTATTTTCTAAAGATTAGAGTACTGAAGAAAAGATTAAAGCTACGTTTTAAGATATTTGCTTCTTTGAGTTTATATGAAGAAATCTGAATCATAAACTCAGGATTTAGGTGTAGTTGGAGTAAAAGAAAATAACTGATAAAGTTATTTCTAGTAACAAACGCTTTAATCCTCATGTGGTATTACAGATCACAGATTTAATTATGAGAATTATAATTTATGATATAACTTATTACTAAAACACTCTCGTATATATATTCACCTGCTTTTCACTGACATTCTTACATTCTTTACAAACAACCTGGTTAACAATGGTCCCGTGATACAGACGATTGATGAGGTCATGGCCGGAGGTCCCGACTAAAGAAGTTTCCAAAGCACTAAAGAGAATTCGATTCAGTTCTTGCACATCATGCTGCCTCATTTCCTATAAAACAGGTAACTTTTAAATGTGATTTTGTGCTTCAGGTTTTTAAAAACAGATTTTTAAAGTGGTATTAGTTACAAAACATAAGATTTATCTAGAAATCCGAAGTTAAGCCTTGATCAAATACAAGGATGACTGGGCTAAGCAAACGGAGAGCAGGTGAAGAGATCACCAGTTTTTACTTTCACTACAAAATGAAAACATGAACAGGTGTGTTCAGTGTGTACATATAACTCAACTCACTTGAAAACAGGAAAGTGCTTTCATTCTTGTGGGAAACCACACACACGGCCACACCACAGGAGAGGAGGGAGAACACAGCAGGCACAGAGCAGTGTCTAAGAGCCGGCGGCGTATGCACAGCGAAATCTCCCTTACATCAGGGGATCCGAATTACCAGCATTTGAAAAGAACCAGAATTTACTGTTTGCACATGCAGACCAACGAACACAGCGCTGAGAAAAATTCTGAAGCAACTTGCTTCACTCCACCAGGGGTCATGCAGCTGCGTGTGAACACACCGAGCGCCTTAAGCACAAGTGATAATCCAGAGCCAAGGGGACGCCAACACTCAGAAGTGGAGCAGAGGAGGAAGAGCCGGGGCCGGGAGAGAGTCACAGGAAGCAGCAGAAGCTGGTGCTTTAAGGGGGGAGGGGGGGCAGGGAGTGCTCTCGAGAGCCTGCTCAGAACAGAAAAGTGTCTCCTGGAACTTGGCCCGTGGATGTCATGAGTAGCTTGGACAAGAAGGTAGAAAGGAGGTAGAGGGACAAATGAAAGGTGCAGAAGTAGAGACCATGAGGGAGTGAAAAGAAGCTGATAAAGTGGATGAAAGCTGGAGCAAGACGTGGGCTTCAGGATCTTTTTTCTTGAGTTTTTGAGATACTAGAGCATGTAAATTTCTCCAGTATCACTGGCTCTGAAGGGACCGTGTGGAAGTTTGCAGGCTCCGTTTCTGAATAACTCTGAGGCTGCAAAAGGTGCCTCAGAGTCCCTCTCTACCAGTCCTAGAGGGTTTCCTGAGAGGTTTTATTTAGAAAGTAATAAATAATAAGGTTTTCAATGCTTTAAGAGTATGAAATCAGCAACTCAGTGGCAGCTCATGATCTAAAAGGAAAATCCATCAGCAGATGACTAGATTGAAACACAGTGTGGCATATCCCTCTTGTACAATATTACTTGGCAATAAAAACGGATGAAGTGCTGATGTGAACAACACAAACGAAACTGAAGACATGATTTAAGTGAAAGAAGCTAGTTACAAAGGATCACATATTGTATGACTCCCTTTCTGTGAAATGTCCAGAACAGGCAAATCCATAAGGGTAGAAAGTAGATGAGTGGTTGCCAGGGTCTGGGGGGAGAGTGTCTGCTAATGGGTATGGGGTTTCTTTTTGGGGTGGTGAAAACGTTCTAAAGCTGACTGCAGTGATGGTTGTACAAGTCTGTGAACATACTGAACAGCTGCTGACTTGTACCCTTATGAGTGAATTTTATGGCATGTGAATTATAGCTCAACGAAGTGGTCATTTTTAAATGTTTTTATAATTTTTATTTTTTTAAGTTTATTCATTTATTTTGAGAGAGAGCAAGCATAAGCGGGAGAGGGCAGAGAGAGAGGGAGAGAAGTCCCAAGCAGGGTCTGCAACTGTCAGCGCAGAGCCCGATGTGAGGCTCGAACTCGCGAACTGAGAAATCATGACCTGAGCCAAAACCAAGAGTAGGACACTTAACTGACTGAGCCACCAGGGCGTCCCGCAAAGCTGTCATTTTTAAAACAAGGAAAGAAGAAGGACTTGACCCTAAGCGCCTGCTCTAACCCAGAAACTTAACTGTGTAATACCCCACTTCACTTCAAAACCCAAGCCGTACCTCTTCAACCTCACAGCATCATCTGGTTTAGGAGTTGCTCGTCATTAGAAGACCACAGTTCGAAGTTTATTTTTGAAGGCAATGTTACATTTTTCTGGTCATTGCCTCTTTAAATTCTGCAATAGTCTCCCCACCTGTCTCTTGTAAGAATACATCTACTCCGTTAAAAAATCACAGCTCATCAATATCGACAACAAGCACCTTTACTCGCTGCTGACATGTTTAGTGTTTGCATGTAGTGAAGTACCCTTTAGACTCCAACAGAAAACGAGAGACCGTGCACACACAGTAGGATACGGGAAGAAAATGAGGAGTCAGGAGGGAAGCAGGACAGAAAAATGAAAAGACCAGCTAAGAATGTTTTCACCATTTTCCTTGAAGCAAATGTTCCAATGAGAATACCCAGATTCAAACACAAAGGCATGCCATCAAGGCAGACAGAATTGTTGTCGGCCACTTTTTAAGCTGGTTAGCAATTTGTTACATAAATGAGAATTTCCATGTAATAGACACCATGATCTCAACTAGACTATATGAAGGACAGGGACTGTACAAGTCTCCCCGTGTCCTCTGCCTATGTCCACAACCCTCTCTCCGAAGCCAAATCACACCCATTCATAAAATCTCGCATAGAGCAAGTGTCTAGAAATAGATTTCTGGCTTGTAATTATTGAACGTGAAAAGCAAATATTTCATCTATTTCTTGAGACCCTAAGACAAAATGAAAGGAAGTCAGATACTGTTATTAAACCAACATTTACTCTTTATTGCTGATAACTCTGTTCCTTGGAGAAGCTGGCCTTCATACCTCATCGCTGGTCCACCCGAAGCTGTCAGTGAGGTCCGTGGTGGACGCTGCATCCTGGTCTAAGAGCAGAAGCTGAGCAAACATCCGCTGTAACTGTAAAGGGATGATTCGAACCTGAAAGAGAAGCAAATGAGGTCTGCATCTCTAAATGAGGTCCTTTAAGTGTCGTTGGGGGCAGGGAGCTTTAAAGGAACTGCAAACCAGTTTTCTCCTTTCTCCTAGTCCATTCACTTCAACCAGGAGGAAGTTTATAACTATTACACGGGGTGAACTAAGATTCACTTTTTTATTAAGATTCTAATTCAATCCAAAAAGCTTTAGCTATCTGGAGTTTTCTACCTCGACACGGTACACGATCAATACTAACACCCAAATAGTTCTAAGAAACCACCCAATTACTGACAGCAGTTTCAGTCTCTACTAGTTCACTCCCTCTCTAAAATCTCTCAGAGACACACTCCCCAGGAGGAATTTTCCAGTCACAATTTTCACTCACTCTGGAGTCCGGACACCTCACAGGGCTGGCTGCACCCACCTCACCTGCTTCCTGCTTTATCTGGTGTGGGGCGGGTTAGGGCAGGCAGAGAATGTTGCTCAGAGCCTCGTGGGCAGACTGGACTTAAGTATCTAAAGTGAGAGTAAGACTTCACTTACTTTAGACACCTTTATGGCAATCTGACGTCATTGCCGCCACATTTTTATTACATGTTACAAAGTATGACGTGCAGGAGATGGGGAAGAAAAGGAAATAGGTAAAAACTGCCTCTTCGCAACACAGGTGGTCTCAGAAGAACTGGGCTGGATCACAGAAGACTACTATTACGAAGTGCAGATGTTAGCCTGAAAGCAATAAACTTCTGAACGGTGTTTAGGCAAGGAGGGACACGATTAGAAATGCACTTTTAATAAACCAATTCCTCACGTGGTTTATTTCCAGACTACTAAATTAAAACAGCACCAGTGTCTAAGTTTTGTTGTTGTTACATATGTATTAGGTAGATTTTTTGGTAGGCTAGTATGGGTCATTTGCGAATATCTTCTTGATCAGGTTGTGTCTGTAAAGCCGCTCCAGCACTATATTTGGAGAAATAATTCTTTTTAGGGAGGAAGATTCCTTTACCAGTACCGTGTATGAGCCAAATCACTTTTCTGAAAATAAAGATTAATATTCAGTAATTAATAAAATTATGGATTTCTATGAGCAAAGAACTTAATTCCTTACTCAGAAAAACATTTCCTCAGGGGTGCCTGGGTGGCTCAGTCGGTTGAGCCTCCGACTTTGGCTCAGGTCATGATCTCATGGTTGACGAGTTCGAGCCCTGCGTCAGGCTCTGTACTGACAGCTCAGAGCCTGGAGCCTGCTTTGGATTCTAGGTCTCCCTCTCTCTCTGCCCCTCCCCCTGCTCATGCTCTGTCTCTGTCCCAAAAATAAATATAAACATTAAAAAAAAAATTTCCTCAATACTCCAAAAAAAAAAAAAACCCACAAAAACACCTGTAAATCACAGATTTAATACCTTTGCGTCAGGTTTATCCTTATTCTCGAATGAACCAAGCTCTTCTGGGCCAAGGGAAAATAAGGCTTCTAAATAAAAAGGTAGAATCAGTGATAGAGAAACGTCATTATTTCATTTTAGAAAACTGTTTTAGAAAGCCAAAGCCTCCAGTAAATAAAATCAGTTAGAGATTCTGAAGTATGATTGTGGCAATGTTTACACTGTGACTCCATACATTTTATTTCCTGATAACATTACTTTTAACCACTGACTCTATAAAGTGGCATGCTAAGGTTTCATTAGGGAAGATCTACACAAGGAAAACGATGCTTATGAAAGTACAAACAGTAATATCAGAAATCTTTGAGGGTTTTCTATTGCCTATGGCAGTGGGTCCCAAAAGCCACATGAGGAAACATACAATATATAAAAGTATCACATGTTCATTCACAAGCCACATGTGAGGCTTTCAACCATCTTTGAAGAGAAAGACCACCTTGATCTCTGAGATCACACCCTTCGTTTTTAGGATAACAATGTCTTTTCTGTGTTAAGGGTAGTAACAGATGGTAGTGACCTTACCTGGAGTGCTAGTCTCCACAACTGTTTTATACTCCCAAGTCTAGGCATGTCGCTCAATGGGGCATATCTGAATCTTATGGGAAGTCAACATTCAAACCACATGGGAACCCCTACTAGGACACTTTGATCTACTCCAGGGAGAGAATGGATGGGATGGGTATTGTTTCCCTCTGCAGAACACTGCTGCCCAGGTGATTACTATTACGAATGCTACATTCCTTCTGAGCTCCAGGCAGGAAATGGGAAGAAATGAGCTACAAACCTAAAGGTTAAAGCATAAAACCATACAAGGACTTTTACGATCATTTCCCACTACTCTCCGTCACCCTGAACCAGTACAGCGGAAACCAATCCAGCCCTACTCAAGATACTGTGCCAGAAGGTTCCAAAATTATTCTCCCCTCAGTACTCTGCCAATTCCTACCCCTTCTAAAACTGTATCTCCTCTTCAGTAGGCATCAGGATCCATGCTAAGCCATATAAGGAATGCATAGTCCACACCAAGATATGGGCTTGGCCAGTGACCTCCTTTGCTGAGAATAAGATGGCCTGGGCTTTTGCTCAGTGGCCATCTCCATTCAGCCCTATCTTTGCTCAGGTGCCCTCTCTATGACCTGGACTGCCTGCCCACCAATCACCTTCCTCAGTCTCTTTTCAAGGCTACTTTTCTACTGCAACTGTATTAAAGTTTGAAAGACTTTTAATCTCCTAGGAATCTGCTGAAATTTATGCTGAAAATCCCTAATGGTGGAATAACTGCATACATTAGGGAGATATGTTTATAGAGAAGATGGAGTCAAGGACAAATGGCTCCACTCTGAAATCCCACATGTAGTTTCATCCATTAGAATGACCCTGGGAAGGGGATGATGGTAAATATTTACTAAATCTCTGGAGGCAGGAAGTCTTTCCAAGCTAAGAAGCAACAGAAAATGTCAAAAAATTTTGCTAAATTCGGTACTGATGGGAAGTGGGGGATGAGATACTGGATACAGGATGAGCCAGGTTGTCTGTCCTCAGCATGAGGAGACACTGTGGAGAGCTGAGAGGCACAGTCATGCTCAGCTGTGTGGTTCAAGGCCCCAGTAGGGGCCACGTGAAGGTAATGTTCATATTGAAACCAAGAGACTAAGACCCTTGTGGAGGAAGCTAGTTTGCAGAGATGGGAATGGTACAAACATAAAGAGAAATACAGTGGCAAGAAATCAAGGGTCCGGTGAGGTTAGGCTGGCTCCCTGTAAGTGGTTTCAAGGAGATTCCCTTATATTCTTGTAGGAAACCCCCCTTTTAATTGACCTAATTGTGTTTCTGTTCCTTGCACATAGTCCCTTGTCTAACATCTTGGGTCTTTGGAATTTCCAGCTTTGAGAAAGGTAGTAAGAAGAAAGCATTATATATGTTAACATTACATCCCCGGCAGGATCTGGGATAAACAGTATCCATTAATTAAGGAGTTCACATTCCTGGAATAAATGTATGAATATCCACCCAAGTGAGACAGCTAAGACTATAAACAGCCTCACATGTGGTTGGGTTCTGAGGCTAAACAAGTTCAGACCAGGTTATTGGAATGTTCTGGATTTCAGAATTGCAGATAAACATTTGTGGACTGTATAAATAATGGGGACATCCCGTCCTTGCTCCAAAAGGCAGGATTTAATTGTTTTAGGTAACTTGAGTGTTTATTACTTCAGTGAAATTAAAATTTTTTTTTAATTTTAAAAATACAAATAGCATAACAATAATGAAGGCTGGCACTCACGACAAAATTGTCTTTATGTGGTATTTTAAATTATAGGAATCAGAAAAGCAATTCATCGCCTTATTTTTGTTACTAAAAACTACCGTGATCACACAGAATATATTTAAGATAATGTAAGCTTCACATTTCTCTACAGAGAGAATTACCAATTTACGTCTTTCAGCAGCAGTAATACACCCATGCTGTGGAATACAACTTTAAGATACTTTTGTAATTTTGCACAATTGATTACAAGTAGAGACAAGGGTGCATATTACTGACTAATCAAATGCATGTAACACGGCATACCTCTGAATTCGGGTGTGAAATGAAGAGTCTGAAGAAGGGAATTGAGGTAACAGGTTCCACCCTGATTTCTAATTCCGCTTAAATTGGTGAATTCTCTAGGAGCCGGTGGCTCCAAAACCTTGGTCTTTAATTTCTTCTCGTTTCCATACTGATAAGTTGACACACTGGAATAATCTTCTTCAAACAGATCCCCAAACATCGTGACACTAAATACTACCCTTAAAAAAAAAAAAAAAAAAAGACAGGTTACACAAATGCTTTTATTTTTAAAACACATTTTCCACACATCTCCCTATCTTATGCTTGGGAATGTCTCTTTTAAATCGTTCCTTACAAAATTTATCCAGTAGTTTGGGGTTTTGGAGACTGCAAGACCTGGATTTTCTCATCCTTGCTACGACACCCTGCCTGTGTTACCGCAGGCAACTTACCTAACCTGTGTTCTTTACATATACAATGGGATACCACCTATCACTCAAGGTCCTTTAAACCAATTGAGAGAATTTAAGAAAGGCACTTGGTGCACAGGGTTTGGCTCGCAATAAATAATAGCTGTTTTAAAAGAGGCATATTGAGGGACACCTGGGTGGCTCAGTCACTTCAGTGTCTGACTCTTGATTGCGCCTCAGGTCATGATCTCACAGTCGTGAGATCCAGCCCCAGGTCGGTTCTTCCCTGAGCGATTAGCCTGGAGCCCGCTGGAGATTCCACCCCTCCCCCACTCACGTTTTGTTTTCTCTCTCTCTAAATAAACAAAAACATGTATATAAAAAAAGTAAAAAGGCATACTGGAATCCCTAGTGAAAAAAAGAAAGAAAA